AAAAAAATAAAATTTATTTACTTGGGTTGCCTCCCAAGAAGCGCTTCTTTAATGTCACTAGCTTGACGTTAGCCCGTTTTTTACGGGACTTACCGATCCGAGAGTCATAAAGGTTAACCTTTTTGACTCTCTTCTGATGCCACCTTTGTTTGGTTCTTTTCCAGTCAAAGTCCAGGATCTTTGACTCATTCTTGCGGCTTGGTGGCAACAGGAAAAATGGAGGAGACTCATCTTGGATGGGTGGTGGTGGGAGTCTCCTCGGTGTATCCACATCATTGGCCTTTAGTGCCAGGATCTGACTTTCCAAGTCTTCAATGGGCTGACTTTCTATTTGTGGTTCGATGATTACGGCATCGCCTTCCCCTGAGTCTTCAGTGTCGCTCATCAAAAGTTCGTCCGAGCTTATTTGACTATAACTTTCCTTCAGGTAAGAATGGTTGTACCCGTCAAGTAGGGAGTCAAAGAAGGCTTCGTCTGAATCCTCCGGTGAGACTTCAATATTAAGAACTCCTATAGACGGAATGGACTCAGCATCACAGGGTAGTTCCTCATCTATAGGTTGTTCAGACTCATCAGTATCAAGGGGGTTGGTGGTGGGCTCAGATTTCTCCAGAACAGGTTCCTCTGGAGAAGTGTCTTCAACACATGTTAGGAGGACAGGTTCCTCCAACGTTTCTGGTGCAGCTGGTGAAGGCGGTTCCGAGACAGGACCCTCGGTAGGTTTCACATCTTGTACGATTAAACTTCGTGGGCTTTCAGGAAGCATCACCATTGTACCTCGTGCAATCATTTCTGCAAGTGTTATCTTGTTCTCGATATACAGTGGGGATGGAGTTTGTGGGTATTCAAGAATTGAGACATTGTTGGATTCAATTTCAGATTCTGTCTCAGATTCTTCATCCTCTTCTAGAACAACAATTTCCTCCATCTCTTCTTGTTGTTCCATAGCCTTCTTAAAGTCCTCCAGCATCTTTTGCACATGCTCCCAATATTCGCGTTGTTCGTTATCTCTCTGGGTTTGGAGCAGTTGGCGTTCTTCTTGGACTGTTTTGAGAAATCGTTCTCTCGCCTTGATTGCATCTCTGTTTGCTTCGATTTGCTCTTCACGAGTCAGAGAGTAATCACGGCAATAGCGTGGTTCAAATAATGAACACTCCATTACTAATGCTAGGTCAAGATAAAGTTTTTTTTTCTCAGTCCACAAAATCTCTTCAATAAGTGGATCTAGCTGGTCATCGTACATTGGCCCTTGTTCGTCATAATCATCTTGATCATCATGAGGTTCATAATAATCCCCACACTTGTCTTGGTATGGAGAATATCCAAAGCTCCGAGACGGGGTATCGTATGGTGATTCCTCATGGTATGGATAATAATCAGGTCCATTATTGGCTGAGTAGTCATCATAATATGAATCCTGATGTGGATAATATGGTGGTGGTGATGGTGGATAATAATTGGACTCTTGGGAAAATGATGGTGGATGGTTGGGTGGTTGGTAGAAAGGAGGCGGATCGTAGTAATCATCTCGAAAATTCATTTTTAATGATTACCACGGGTGATTTTTTGAAAAGAGGTGAGAAGATCGACCTAACCGGTCTTCACCCAAGCTAATTAAAAAAAATAAACTAAAACCGAGCCACTCCCCGGCAACGGCGCCATTTGACGATTGAGTTTTTCGGTAAGTCAACTTTCCCAATGAAGGGTTAGTTTTCTCCGAGTGTCGTGTCTCTCGAGGAGTGGACGAAGGGAATTAGCTAATTTTTCTAACTAGACGAAGGTTTGGACAAGTCTGAAAGTCTTCTCGATTTGATTTGAAAATAATAATAAAATAAACTACTGGATGCTTTTGAGAAAAAGAAAATAAATAGTACGGGTATAGGACTAGACTTCGGGCCAAGGCATCATCTGAGTTAACTACTGTTGTCACATATTTAATCAATAATTGGAATAATAATATTTCTGTCACAAATATTTCATTAACTTATCCTCTCTCAAGGCAACATTAATGTGTT